TTGCTAATCGATATCTTGCTTGTGCAGATCCGATTTGTAATAAGGGTATTTATACATAGAGTTCTTTGCTAAGGGTGTTCGAATCTTTTCTCTCAGGGCTCATTTAGACGCTTCTTGTGAGACTTGTGTTTTGTAAGAACAAAATCTGTAATTGATAAGAGTCAAGAGCACCATTCAATTACTCACCAATGGACTCCAAGTGTCTTCTCTCCCCAATGGATGATGGTGGTAGAGACATCTCACAGATTTCAGGTGTGCTTTCAGGGACATCTTTGGGACTACTGCTGTCTTCAGGAAGCTTCAAGAAACAAGATGAAATTCGAACAATGTCATAATCAATTCAGGTAGTAAAGACATATCAGTCACAACTATCAAGTCCCCGAGTACATGTATGATAAATCAATAAATGAAGTACCCCTGAACATATACCCCTTACAGGATCGTTACTGAAAAACTGACAGACTTTGTATTAATTGTCTACCTGATGCTTCTCCTCGTTACAGCCTGCTTCCTCAACATCTGCCACACCTGCCTCCCTCTCCTCCTCCAGCTGTTCCTGGATCATCTCTTGCTCACTGATGTCCTCCTTGAACACCAGCTCTGTCTCACTGCCAGGTTGAAAGATTAGATTTATTGATCACATTATAAAACAAACAACGGGATAATAATTATGGATGGGTATCGCTAAGGTTTTAACGGTACTACTACTTTTATCGATACCGCTTATCGATCCGGTATTTTAACGGTACTTTTATCTAAAAAGAATCATAGTTAAGGGCAGCTCATTGTGGAATAGCCTCCCAACTGAGTTACGGGATTGTCCCACTTTGAACAGTTTTAAAAAAAGGTCAACTAAAAGAATGGTTGAGAAACAAACAAACGTGCAATCACCGCTAAATGCACTTTAATACAGGGGTATCTCCTCTGGCACTTTATATGTCGTAGCTGCTACATTGTACTGCCATGTGGTAAATACTTGTATATGCTGCTCATGCTCTTTCTGCATATCTTTGCCATGTATATAAATGTCAGGTTCTTAAATGTTGTATGTGACGGACTACGGATGGAAATTAGCTCAAAGCTAAAATCCGGCATGTTTACGTTTTAAAGCATTATTGGTTTTAAATGTTCATCAATGTGCACTGTCCCTCTTCAAATAAACGATTAAATAAAAAAATAGACGCATTTCTTTGTATTTTTGCATATTAGAAACGGAGTTGGCGACACTAAAACTGCAATATAATGTTTGTGTAGCATATGACATTTTTTACATGTCTCCAGTACCGATAAAAACACATGACGTCGCAGCTCAACGGTGCCACGGTCTTTAATAATTCAGCCCCGGGGCCCGGTACCCATCCCTAATAATAATGTAGTGGGGCTTTTATAAAAACGCATTGTACCTGAAGTCCTTATCAGAATGGTGGGAAAGTTCCAGTTCATCCAGTTCAGACACCTCGGGGCTCAGCTGTTCATTTACTGGAAGGGACTCAAGACTGGTGCTCGTATCAAGTGTCGGCTCTACATCAATCTGTCCTGCTGCTTCTGATGGGGGGGGGGGGAACAATTATTAAACATAAATGTAAATATGTTTATCTGAATTAAAAGCAGTTTTGGTTCACACTCACCAACAATATCCAATGTCTCCTGGTTGTCCATGTGGATGATTTGTTCTCCTGAGTTCTGGGTACCTTGTGGTCCAGAGAGCTGCTGTATGAGGCTGTGCTGCTGGCCCACCTGCTCCAGCAGGGAGTCGTACTGCAGCTTCAACTCAGTCAGCTCCGTCTGTAAACTCGCCAACTTCTGATGCAGCTCGGCCTGCTCCGCCTCAAACTGTCGGTTCCTGTGATACATGGGATTTATAAAATGGTGGCAGTGAACACACATTCATATAAAAAGAAAAAGTTCTAAACTTGATTTAATGTACAGAATATGAGGGTTCAAAAGACATTGAGCTGCAATACTTGAGCTCATAAAATAAACCCACAGACATGTCAATAACGGTTTGTTTACCCCCAAAAAATTACAAGTAACTTGTGGTAGAAGAAAAATCTGTTTTCATTGCATTATTTGTGCTTTTTGAAAACATAAAAAAAAAAAGTATATATACACACATACAAATTTAACTTAAATCAAACTGTACCTCTCTCTGTTCTCCTCCTCGGTCCTCTTCTCCATCCTCTCCAGCTGCTCTTTAAGTGAAGCCACCTCGTCTTCCCGCCGCTCTATGCTGTCTTGTAGCAGCAGCTTCTCCTCGGTGACTTGATCCACACTAGACTGTAGTTTGATTTTCTCCTCGGTGACTTGATCCACACTAGCCTGTAGTTTGATTTTCTCCTCGGTGACTTGATCCACACTAGACTGTAGTTTGATTTTCTCCTCGGTGACTTGATCCACACTAGCCTGTAGTTTGATTTTCTCCTCGGTGACTTGATCCACACTAGCCTGTAGTTTGATTTTCTCCTCGGTGACTTGATCCACACTAGCCTGTAGTTTGATTTTCTCCTCGGTCAGCTGATTATAATTGTCTTCTAGCTGAAGCTTTTCCTCAACTACTTGATTACATTTAGTGACAGAGTTACTGTTTTCAGAGGCTAGCTCATTTAGTTTAGCCTCGAGTTGGACTTTCTCCTCAGTAATTAGAGTGAGGGTAACATCGAGTTGGGCCTTCTCCTCGTTGACCTGTCTCAGAGTTGATTCAGCGACTTGTTTCTGAGCGGTGAGTTCATCGACCTTCTGATTTTCCTCAGTTAACTGCTGAATGTTGTTCTGCAGTTGTTTGTTCTTCTCAGAAAGCTCATCCAAACTGACCTCCAGCTGTTTCTTCTCTGCATTTACTCGAATCATTTCAGTTTCTACTTTCTCTTTATCATCTGTTACCTGTTTCAAAGAAGCTTCAAGGCAGTTTTTCTCTTGTTGTAACTGGTTAAGACTATTATCTTTGTCTTCAATGACCTGCCTGAGAGTTGTCTCTAACTTGACATTTTCCTCTGTGGCCTGACAGAGCTTAGACTCAAAAGTAGCAACACTCTCCTCCAGCTGTTTCTGATTGGCGACGTCCTCTTCGAGACGAGTAATTTCATAGCTCCTCTCCATCAGCTCGTCCCTCGCTGTGACAAACTGCGTCTCCAGCAACGAGTTCTGGGATTGGACATCGTCTAAACGGGTTTCCAGGACAGAGACCTGAAAATAATTGTAGATTGAATCTAGTTAGGTATGTTTGCTTGCCTACAGAGCAACAGGAGCTGGCAAAGATGATGCCAGTTTGCTGCCTGAAGTTTAGACAATTCATTGATGAGACATGTGAAATGTGTCATTAGCCGCTTTCACACCAAGTACTTTGCCGTACTTAGTTCCCAGCACTTAGTACCGCCATGGAACTAAAGAGCCAATCGCGTTCACACCGGAATAAGTCCCTGAGGGAGGATTACACAAATGAAGCCGCTGACGTCACTTCTTCTTCTTCTGCTGCTGCTTTGGGTTTACTGGCAGGCCGCAAAACAACTTCACGGCGTATACTGCCACCCAAAGTCCCCGGCCGGAAGTCCCCGGGGTTGGGGACTGGCTTCAGAGTAAATCGCCAGAACGCCGAGCAGCTTCTACTGAAGCCTTCAGAGTAAATCGCCAGAATGCCAACACCTCCTCATCTCCACCGCTCCCATGTTTTCTTTTGTGTTGCCATAAGTTAGTCCCTCCGCGTTGGTGTGCAGGGCTAATGCTAATAATGCTAATGCCAGCAAATAAAATGGCGGCTTCACAAAACTTTTCAGAGTTTTACGGGGCGTGGTTTGCAATTTTTTCTCCCCAGGAAAGTACCTGCTCTCTAGCAGGGACTGAAAAGGGGGGAAAAGTTCTCTTTTTGGTGTGAACGCAAAATCCCAGGAACTATCGGAATTAAACGGGAAAAGTACTCCGGTGTGAAAGCGCCTCTTGAGCTCCAAATGATGAAAGGTTATCTCCACAGTAAATCTACAATCTGTGGCACAAAATGATTTGGACAGATTTGAGTGTAACTGTGACTCTACCTGGGCTTGGCTGTCCTCCAGTCTTGCCTCCATGTCAGTCATCTGGGTGTTGTTGTGAGTCAGCTGAGCCTCCAGCGACTCTATGGTTCCCTTCAGTTCCTCCACCTGACTTTCACAAGTGCTCATGACTGTCTCGTTGTCCTCCAGGTCCATTTGAAGCATCTCCAGCTGAACCTTAATGTGAACAATTACAAAACGTTTTTCAATTTTCTGATTCGTTGCAACACCAACAAGGCAAAAGTGACACACTATGGTCCCGCCAGAGTACATCAGTAACCAACCTTGATTTTGTGCATGGCAACCATCTTCTCCTTCAAGAGATCTGATGATTTAGCCTGCTCTGCCTCAGCGTTATTGAGCTTCTCCTTCAGACTCTTTATCTCGTTGTCTCTCTCTTCTAAGCCGTGTGAAGCAGCAGACAGAGTCGTCTTCATGGTCTTGATCTCTCCTCGTCGAGTACTTGATTCTGTCTTTGATGCATTAACTAATTTCCTCGCAGCCTCGAGCTTCTCTTTGAGGATCTTCTCTTTGTTGATCATATTTTCAACCTTCAAAGTGTGATTTGCCGACTCTTTGCTCGCCTTCTCTCCGAGCTCCTTAACCTCGTTCTCCAAATTACAGATTAGATTGTTTTTCTCGTTCATGGTGTTCTCCAAGTTGGATTTGATTTCAATAGTAGAGGAGTGACTCTTCTCAAGAGCTTCTAGATGCTTCTTAAGATCAGCATGGGACTGGTTGACCACTTCCAGTTCTTTCTCCAAGGCTGGGAGCTTCTCTGCTTCATCTTTGCTCGCAGTCAGCTTCTCTTGTAAGGAAGATATCTGCTCCAGAAGGCAGTTGGTCTTCTCAGTGTGAGACTGCTGGAGGTTCTTCATAAGAAACAGAATGAATCATTACTTGTGAGAAACACAGGTCATGGTATACACCAGGGCTATTCAATTAGTTTGGAATGGGGTCGATCCAAAGCAAGGGGCCGGGAAAAAGATGGCTTGAAATATGAGCAATCATATTAAGAGCTTCAGATACAGTAAATACTACAAGAGCACAGTGGAGTGCATATGTTGTGTTGAATTAAATCAAACAACATAGCCCCAAGGCCTTTAGAGATCTAAATGGCAAGTTCAGAACTCAGTAGGCCTACATGTGAAGCTCATTTAACCATCATTTAATTTGATTTAATTTAGGTGAAGTGATCTAATCATTCACGCAGAGATGCAATAAATGACAGTTGTCACTACAGTAGCTAGTAGGTGGGTTCGAAACCCGAGCCCGCAGAAGTTTTCAGGCAATGTCTTCCCCTCTATCTCTGAATTTAACACCCTCTCTGGAATAAAGGCACTCTGGCCAAAAAAAATAAAAATAAAAAATCTTAATAAATCAAATTTGACGATTACTTTTTAACATTATACTCAAAGGGCCAGTAAATATCACCCGCGGGCTGCCAATTGAATAGCCCTGGTATACACAGTATGAAAACATATGAAGCATGGACAAACAATAATACATTTTTGGGGACTATTTTACCTCGGCCTCCTTCTTCGTCTCTTGAGCTGCATTTTCCAGCTCAGCCGTTTGTTTCTCCAGAGACAAAATGTGAGCGTCCGCCTCTCCGAGCTGCTTCTCCTTCTCTTCTGCGTGGCTCTGCAGACCCTTCAGCTCCCCCTCTAACTCTTTGAGCTCTTCTGATTTCTTCTCATGCATCTTCTTGTGTTCCTCTTCTTTGTCAGACAACGTCTTGATTTGTTTCTGAAGCTCAGCTCCCAGTTGCTCCTGGACCTTTAGCAAATGATGTGTGGAACTGATCTGAAACACAAGGACAAAAGTAAGAAAAAATACCCCCAAAAATATAGAACTTACCGACCAAATGTGATCCGTCACTGAAATCAGAGACACACAACATACTCTTCTTCTATTGCAAGATATAATAATACGTATACAAATGACATGTTACATGTTAGACGCTTTTATCCAAAGCGACTTACATACTCAATACTGTGGGCAATCCCCACAGGAGCAATTTGGGGTGAAGTGTCTCAGGGACACAACGACATGCTGACTGCAGTGGGGTTTGAACCTGTGCTCCCCCTGATCCGAACACCAACGCACTACTCCCATGCGCCACAAATAAAATGTACGATAGCAAAGATATTCATACATAATGTACTCATCCAAAAGAAATGACAGAATGTGTTAACTAAATAATGGGTAATCTGTTTAATAATAGTTTCTGTGACAGTCCAATTAATTAAACAGACCTGTTTGTGGGTGAGCAGCAGCGCTTGCTGAACTTCTTCCAGCTGCAGCTTGAGCGTCTCGGTCTCTTCAACCTTCTCTGAAACGCTCTCCTCACACTGCTTCAGCAGGGCCGCCTTCTCCTCGGCCAACCTGGTGGAGATTAGACACCAAGAAAAAGAATATGCATGTTAGAAGCAAAACATAATTATTATTTACTCAAAGAAACCAATGTTATACTTGTATCATAGGATACTAGGGATGGGTACGGAGCCCCGGTATTAAAGGGTCCCCGGGGCGGAATTATTAATTATTATTAAAGACCATGGTACCGTTAAGCTCCGACATTATCGGTCTTTTTATCGGTACTGGAGACATCTAAAACATAGATATGTCATATGTGTTATGCTACACAAACATTATATTGCAGTTTTAGTGTCGCCAACTCCGTTTCTAATACTCAAAAAGACTGCAAAATGCGTCTATGATTATTTTTTGTATTTTCGATCTTTCCAATCCAGACGAGAGATCTCTCTCCCCCGCCTGCTTGCGAGGGGGCCGGGCAGTTTACACACACGCAGCTGCTACATGCAGCAACACACACACATGGCGGAGAGAACTAAGCGCTCCGAGGTGTGGTTCAACTTTACCCGTCTCGAGGTGGACAATGCTCGTTACCAAAAGTGCAATAAGAGTTTAGCATGTAAGGGCGGTGACACGAGCAATTTGTCTACACATTTTGCAAAAGTGCCCCACATTCAGACGGAGAAATGCACCGTTTGACTGTCTTTCTAGTAGCTCTGTAGCCCCGTCCACGTCAGGTGTTATGTATGCTAGCAGCAACACACGGAGCAAACTCAATTATACAAACATGGGTTATTTAGTTTGTTAAAGTTTCAGCTATTCCGTTTACAGTTCTGTCATCAGATTATTTAATAAGATTTGTTAACATTGTTGTTTCTTTTGATGTGAAATATTATGTATTTAATTTAAATAAAAAGTAATGTTAATTTTGTTCACAATTTGTTTAGTAGTTTACCTCCTTTTTTTTTTCCCAAAAGAACCGATAAGAGTACCGTTAAAAGACCGGATCGATAAGCGGTATCCATAAAAGTAGTAGTACAGTTAAAACCTTAACGATACCCATCCCTATAGAAACACATAAGTATTTTATAGGGGCAAAATCAAATGTCCTCTTAATCATGTGTTACACAGTGATGCCGTCCCAGCAAAACTTAATTTGTGAAGTTTGTCAAAGTTAGATTCATTAAAGGGCTGTTAGAAAGAGTTGATTCAATATTATTA